TCTACCTCACAAGGCTGGCACTTCCCCCCCTTTCCCTCCTCTGCAATCTTCTTTGGGGTCTTATGCAAGCATCCTCTCCCCACTGGGGATCCTCTGGAAAGGCTGGACTAGCCATCAGCACCCCCACTTTCAGCCAGGGATCCTTCCCTGGGAACTCTGGCTAGGAGAGGGAGCAAAGGGGGTGGGGGGAGACCCTTGGCCAATGGTGCAAGGGTGGAGGAAGGGTGGCCCAACTTCGCCATCCTCTGGGGGATGAGCAGCAGCCAGCAGCTCTCCTCCTTGCTCCAACGGATGGGCAGGAGGAGTGACCGGCTCCCCAGTGTTCCCTGGGCAGAGGGCAGGCAGAGGGTTGCGTTTGTGTGTCTGGCGGATGGGCCCTTTGGGGAAGCCAAGGATTCACCTCCTCGCAAAGGCTGGTTCAGCTCAGAGCGGCAGGGAGGGGGGATGACTCAGCAGAAGTGCCCGGGCTCCTCTTCTGCTGAGTCACAGCTGAGTCAGGCCTGCTGCCTCCGATAGGCCTGGGCAGAAGAGCTCCTTGGTGGCGATAAAGGGGGCAGCTGGCAGGCTGGGCAGAGAGGCTGCCAATGACAGACCCTGTTGCCAAGGGCCCACGCAGTCAAGCATCCCTTTCCCATGGGGCAGTGAGGGAGGGGAAGGGGGGGCGAGACTGGCTATCCATGGAAAAGAGTACATGGAGCCGATTTGTTGTTGGGATGGCACGCTTTTGTATGGTACAAGGGAACAAAAACACAGGGGTATTTTAGACGACATTTTATACATGAGGCTTTGCTACTAAACTGGGAGAAGATCAGAAGACAATATTATTTAAAAATTCCAGTCTGGTTATCAACTATTGAAGCATTCTCATATTCAATAACGTTTAGAAAGGAACAAATTGTTAGATATAGTGAATTATTGAGTGAAAAGGGTGAACTTAAATCTATGCAAGAATTAGAAGAACAAGGTATAAAGATGAATTGGTTTTCCTATTTGCAAATACATTCTAGATATGATAAAGACTGTAAGACAGAAGGTTTTTATAATAATTTGACTAATTTAGATAAAATTTTAACAGGTACTGATGAAAACATAATTAAAAAATTATATGGACATTTATTAGAGGTCAAGCTAGAATTATTATTTATTTATTTATTTATCAAATTTCTATACCGCCCTACTCCCAGAGGACTCAGGGTGGTGAACAGCCAAGATAAAATACAGATAATACAAACATTAAAAGTCCATTAAAATTATTAAATATTTTGGCCGAAAACAAATTTAAAACACCCAATTTGTAAAACAGATTAAATGATTTAAAAATTTAAAAGGGAGAGTTAGGCCAGGCCAAGTTAAAGAAACAATGATTGCATAGGGAAAAACTTTGGATATGGAATTGACTTAGAGAAATGGCAAAAATTATGGTCGAAAAATTATAAAATGACAATGTCAACTGTATACAAAGAAAATTTGTATAAAATGTTTTACAGGTGGCATCTACCCCCGACGAGGATAGACAGAATGTTCAAGAATAAATCCGAAAAATGTTGGAAATGCCAGCAGATACCAGATTCATATACCATCTGTGGTGGACATGTGTAGGAGCTAAAAGATACTGGACTAGAATCCACACATGGTTGGAATAAATGAGAAAAAAACACATAGATTTTAAACCAGAGATTTTTTTATTGGGGATTGTACCTGAAATATATAATAGAGAGTTGAGATATTTGATTGTTAATGTATTAACAACGGCTAGAATTGTGTTTGCTAAAAATTGGAAAAATGAAAAAATACCAAATCAGGATGAAGATATTAAGAAAATAATGGAATGTGCTGAAATGAGTAAATTGACATTTGAAATTAGAGAACAAGAAGATAAACAATACTATGATATGGGACCTATTTTATCAATGGTTAGATAAAAAAAATATGGAAATGAAATATGGTAGAGATCTTCACAATACAAGAATTGAACTATGTGAAATAAAATATAAAGATGTATTAGTAGACAGATTTAGGAGGATGAAATGAATGTTATAATAAAAATTAACTCAAATTTAAGAATATTTTGAATAATAATGAGAGAAGAAATAGTCATAATCAAATAAATGATTGAGGGTAATAATATATAGATATATATTAGGTCGATGATATGAGAATTTAGGGACACTGTAAATTGTAAGCTATGAATTTGGTAAAGAGGCACAAAAGACTTGTAACCAACCGACACACTGTTTGCAATTGAAGATGGTTTTATTTATGTATGTTTGTATATACTGTAAAAAAAAAAAAATTCAAAAAAAAAAAAAAGAATACATGGAGCTCAGGGTTGAACTGGGGGGTCCTTGAGGCTCTCTGACCTTGGCTGTTTTCTTACAGGCATTTCATGACCCAACTAGGGAACATCCTCCGTGCTAGAAGGGAACTGGGTTTGCAGGGGGGAGGGGGGAGGAGGAGTGTGGGGTCCTGGGTGCTCTCTGAGCTGGGTGGTTTTCTTGCAGATTTTTCATGACCCAATTAGGTCATCACTGGCTATGTTGGGTTCATGTTGGGGTGAAGTATCTTGGTTTGATTTTATGGTTTACAATCTTGGGTGGACGTAGCCTGTTTGAGCTGAACCTGTTGATGTGTTGGCTGAGCCTAGGAAATGGGTCCATGCAGAGGCCCTGCCCCCCCCTTTCTGGGGGCCTCTGGCAGTGCAAGAAGGGATGAGGAGTGAGGGTTAGGGTTGGGGGGGAAACTTTATTCCATCTTTGGTTGTATTATCCTGAAAATGAAAGTCCTGCATTCTGCCCTTCTTTGCTGCTTCAAAAATGACATGGAGGGGTGTGTGTGTTTGCTTAAGAAATCCTACAGCAGAATCTGAGGCACCGCTTGTTTTCTGAATCCTGTTCACCAGCTGAAGCATATTCATGTTCCATATTCCACGTAAAATCGTGAATGTTGAATTAACCCTAGGGATTATTTAGTCCAATCCTCCTTAGTGCAGAATCCACTGCATTGGGGCTTCCAAAACCTGAGTAACTTACCACACACAAACTCACAACCAATCAGAAGAGAGATATTTAAAGAATTTAGAGCATTTTATGTTTCTTGGGTAAAAAGGACTTTCTGATTAAAAAAAAAAACTTTTTAAAGAAACGTATAAGTTTCTGATGGAAACTTTTGAAGGAGAACACCAATTAGCATTAAGGAGAAATTTCCTGACAGAACCATTAACCTGTGGAAGGGCTTCTCTCCAGAAGTTGCTAATGCTCCATCACTGGAGGTTTTTAGGAAGAGTTACTTATCTGGAATGGTCAAGGGCAGGGATGGCTAACCTTTTCCAGACCAAGTGCCCAAAGTGCGCATGCGCGCGAATGAATGTGTGGACGCCCAAACCCTCCCCCTCGCATGCACATGCACCTCCCACATGTACCCCCCTGCATGTACCCCACCCCAGCACATGCGCAGCAGAGACCCGAAGACTAGGTAGCCGGTGGGAGGCACGAGCGCATGCGCAGCAGAGCTGAACTGGGGCGAAGGCTTGCATGCCATCAGAGAGGGCACTGCGTGTCACCTCTGGGATGTGCGCCATAGGTTCGCCATCACGGGTCTAGGGTCTCCTGCTTGAGCAGGGGGTTGGACTAGAAGACCTCCAAGGTCCCTTCAGACTCTGTGATTCTGTTATAAGTGGTTTAGTCAATGAAGTTTGGGATGCCCCACACTAGAACATCTCACCGATGACCACGCAGGACCTGCTGGGAAACTCCCAACTCATCGCATTGTGCGGCTGCTCGGACCGCAGGCTGACAGCTTCTCCAGTCAGGAAGTTTCTTTTTATATCCCACCTTTATTATTTTTATAACTAAGTCTAGGCAGCAAATACACACAATACTCCTCCTTCCCTCCTATTTTCCCATAACAACAACCCTGTGAGGTGGGCTGGGCTGAGAGAGCAAGATTGGGCCAAAGTGACTCCTGATCCCCAGCCCAAATCTCCTTCCCTGCCTTTCTCGCCCACTGGTTCTGCCCCTGCCTTCTGGGCCCATGGAGAACAAGCCCCCTCCGCCTTCTGTGGGGCTCTCCAAAGCCTTTTGAAGGCTGCTGTCCCCTCCCCCCACCTCCTCTGCCTTCCAAACAGGCCGGATCCCTTCAGCATCTTCCCGAGGATGGTTTCCAGGCTCTGCTCCGTCTTCTGAACTCGCTCCCAGGGGCCGATCCCTGTCTTGGATCATCGGGGGGGGCAATTCCTCCACGTTTATACTCCCCCCCAGAACATAGGATCATGGGACGGTGAAGTGGAAATGACCACAAGGGTCATCTAGTCCAGCCCTCTGCAAACTGCAACCCAACCAACGACATCTCCCAGTTTCCTCTCAAAAGCCTCCAGAGGAAGCGGCCCATTGTGGTTCGGCTCTTCCCTTGGACCGGCTTTTCCCTATATATCCAATCAGGTGCAACTGACCCCCAGCCGGCCTGTCCAGGAAGAGGAGCCCGAGCCCCCCACCCCGCAGCTGGGGGAAAGTGTCCCTGTTCAGATTCCCTTCCCGGAAACTCTCCCTTTCCAGCGGCCCCACCGAGCCCCTCTCGCTCAGAAGGGAGGCAGCCGGCAGCCTCGGGGTCGGGAAGGGCCCCCTCCCCAACTCAGCTCGGGCAGCGGGCCGGGCAGGGAGAGGCGCAGCCGCTGCACCGAGGGCGGGAGGGGGCCACGGAGGCACGAAGAGAAGCCGGCGGCGGGTCTTCCCTGCTCCACCCTTCCCCGACGGCTTCGTGTGCGGCAGGGGCTCGGCAGCCTCAGTTACTTAGAAAGAGAGAAGGGGGTGGAATGACACCTCTAACGACCCCTCCTCCGCTCGCTTCCCTTCCGAGGACGACCCGCTCCCACCGGCTTTTCCTTCTCAGGCCCTCCTCGCGCCGCCCCAGCAAGCGGGAGATCCCGGCCGCTTCTCTCCCCCCCTACCGCCGCCCCTCGGCTATTGCGCCCACCCCCCCCGCCCCAAAGCCACGGACGGAGTCAGTTCAGTCTGCAAACGGTGACTTTTATTGTCTGAGCAGGTCGGGGGTCTGGAGTGGCCCCGTCGGAGGGGACGAAGGGCGGGCGCAGCCGCTGCGGAGGAGGCCTAGTGGTACCGGTGGGCCAAGGCGTGGGCCACCACCGACACCAGCTTCTGGTAACAGGCCTGGACGTGCGGGGTGAATTCCTTCCCGAAGTGGGTCGCCAGCACTGTGATCAGGATTTGGCCCAGCAGCTGCAAGAGAAAGAGGCGCCCATGTTATACCTGGGCTGGTTGGCGGGGGGGGGGGGGCTCTGGGCCCGGCCAGACGCAGTGCCCCCCCCGCAAAAAGAGCTCGAGGAAGGAATGAAGGGGGAGGGGGGTGCGGAAGAAAGCCGCCTTTGCCCGCTGGGTATCCGAAGTCTCCTCCTGCGCCGAGGAGCCCCTTTCCTCGGCCGCGACCTCCGTCTTTGCATGCGGCCACGAATCCCCAGGGCCCCCTGGAAAGGCTGGGGAGGGGGCTTGGGTGGGTCTCGGAGGCCTGGAGGGGGCCTGGGGGCCTCTGAGCTGGGCGCTTTTCCTGCAGACGCTTCGTGCCCCAACGAGGGACCCTCCGCAGCGCTAGGAGGGAGCGGCCCTCTACCCCTCCCGCCCCCCGGGGAAGCCCTGCCGGGAGGGGCCGCCCCACCTTGAAGTTGACGGGGTCCACGTGCAGCTTGTCGCAGTGCAGCTCGCTCAGCTTGGCGAAGGTGTCCTTGACGCCCTCGGGGTTCTTGACGGCGTCCCCGAAGGCGGTGAAGACCTTCTTGCCGTGGGCCTTGACCTGCGCATTGCTCTGGATGGCCGCCGCGTTGCTTAGGTTGCCGAAGCTGGTGAAGAAGCGCTGGGTCCAGGGGTAGACGATCAGCAGCCTGGAGCGGGCGAGGGGACGGTCAGCGCCCGACAGGCAGAAGGGCAGCGCCCGCCGCCCTCCCGCCCCTGCCCTCGCCCGCTCCCCTCCGCGGGGCTCACCTGCAGAGGGCCTCGGCGCCGATGGCCGGCACGTCCACCTTGCTCCAGACGGAGGTGATGGCGCTCTTCTCCTCGGCGCTCCAGTGCACCATGACGGGCGGCTGTGGGTGCTGTTCTCGGGACAGAAGGAAGGGAAGCGCCCAACGCTGCGGAACCGGCTCCGGGGCGGCCTTTTATACCCTGCCTGCCGGGAAAGGAGCCCGGGGGGCGGGGGAGCCCGCCGGGTGTGGCCCTGCCGGGCCAGCCGGAGCCCAAGATAGCTGCCGGGGGCATGGCGGCGCGGGCCCTCCTCTTTTGGCCAGGCCGCCCAGGGCTCGGGGCTTCCTTGGGGCTGGCTGAGCGGGGACGTTGGGAGTCCCCAGCAGACCCGGGGGCGGTTTCCAGAAAACTCACCTGCAACTTGGCTGTTGGTGGGCTCTGCAGGGCTCGTGGGAAAGCCGCCCTCCCCTCGGTCAGCTGCGGTCCCCTTCCCCACCGCAGAGAGGGTCCCTGCTCCTTCCTCCTGTGCTTCCCTGGCCCAAGAGGGGTGTTGTGGGATGGGGTGAAGGTTCAGGGTCCATGCCAGGGAGCCACTGGGGTGGGGAGGTCCTGTTCAGGGTGGCCCTTAGGGTGCCCCCTCAACCCAGCCTTCTGCCTGAAAGGGGGTTTATGGTGGGTGAAATCGTCTTTTAGGCCCAAATAGGAAAAACACCATTGAAGAAAAAGATGTTGCATCAGTAAGGGAAACTGAGGGAAGGGGAGCTCCTATCAGAGGCAGTATAGTAGCCAGCCAGTGAAAGGAGGGTCTTCATCTCCAGGGTCCTCCTGACCACCTCAGCCTTTGGCTCCACTGGCTTCAGATGTGCTCCAGCTGCCCAGCCCATTTCTGGGCATCATCGACCACTTGATGAGTCAGGAAGCAAAAGCCATGAGACCCACTTCTGGGGGGGGGGGCAAGTAGGGAGGCATAACAGAATAACAAGGGGCCTCGGAGTTCTTCCAGTCCAACCCCCAGCTCACGCAGGAGACCTTAGACCATTTCTGACAAGTGCCTGTCCAGTCTCTTCTTGAAAACCTCCAGTGATGGAGCCCCCACAACTCCAGGAGGTTCCTCTGCTTGATTGTTCTCACTGTCAGGAAATTCCTCCTTACTTCTAGTTTTCTTGCCCTTTAAGAATAGCTCAATCCCTTCTTCATTGCATCTTGGACAAGGTCTAGGATTGTCTAGGCAGCCGCTGCCACAAAGCACTAGACCTGAAGGGGGATGAGGGGGAGGCCTGAGTTTTGTTCTGTGCTGGGGATTCTTAGAGTGGAATAGCAAGGATGCCTGATGAGGGGGAGGGACTGGAGGGCACAAAGACCCTCTTGCCATGCCCCACGAGGCATATTTTGCAAATGCTATGGGAGGGGATGTTCCAGCCTTTTTTTTTTTTTAAAAAACAAATTGGTTGAAGTCCTTGAAATGCAGATCCTTCCATTGTCATACAAATATTCTCGTGTCGAGATATTGTGATAGCATCTTCACAAATAAAATGGGGGCAGAGACTCCATTTGTTTCAAGATCACATGAGCATTAGTGCTGTTTTATACTGCAATGATGAGCCCAAACCTAGAATTCCCCATCCAACTTTTGGTGGCCACAATACAAAGACATTGACCTCTCGAAGAAGTGCAGAGAAGAGCCCTCTGGAGATGATAAAAGGCCTGGAGGCTAAATTTTCAGATGAATGGTAAGGGAACTAGTCTAATGAAGAGAAGGACCAGGGCGATAATGATAGCAGTCATCCAATATTTGAGGGGTTGCTACAAAGAGAGGGTCAATCTGTCCTCCAAAGCCCCAAGGCAGGAGAAGAAACAACGGATGGAAACCAACCGCGGAGAGAAGCAACCTGGAACTAAGGAGAACCTTCCTGACAGTGAGAACAATAAATAAATGGAACGCCTTGTCCCCAAGAGTTGCGGGTGCTCCATCACTGCAGGTATTCAAGAAGAGATTAGACAACCATTTGTCTGATATGGTAGAGGGTCTCCTGACTGAGCAGGCTGGACTAGAAGACCTCCAAGGTCCCTTCTAACTCTGATTCTGTTATTCTGCTAAGAATTATGGACTATAATATATAAAATTTACACGAAACCTAACAAAAGGGGTACAAAATACTCTATAGAGAGTATGCAATTCCATCAATAATAAATGAGATAAATTATAAAGTAATAAATGTTGGAAATGCCATGGAAGATTATTTTTATTGATTGGAAATCGCCTTCTTCTTTTGTCTTTTTTCACATTTCTATTTTCATCCTTAACTTAAATTCATTTTGTTTGTGGTAAATTTTGCCCAATGTTGAAAGACACAATTTAGAAAATATGTGACTGGGAAGTTAATTTGGAGAACATGCAGGAATGACAACAGAACTTTAACCAAATTTAAATAAGAATGGTTGACTTCTAAGGAGTACAAATGTTTATAAAAACTGAATGAGTAAAAAACACAAAAAGGAAGTAAGTCAGAAACCGCATAGGTTTTTTTTCTTTTTCCTCCTTTTTTCATCTATTGATACTTTAATTGCAGTCAAATTTGCTTTAACTTCTCTTTTCTTTTTCAATATGCTCTGGAGATTTTAATACCGGGTAATCAGCTTAAGACTGACAGCTTTATTGTGCTGTATAACAAATACTTTAGTGAAATCTGCAGCAGTTATTTAGTAGAGGTAGTCCTTGAGTTATGACCATAATTGAGCCCAAAATTTATGTTGTTAAGTGAGACATTTGTTATGTGAATTTTGCCCCATTTTGACTTTTCTTGCCACCTTTGTTAAATGAAACATTGCATTTTTTAAGTTAGTAACATGGTTGTTAAGTGAATCTGGATTCCCCATGGATTTTGCTTGTCAGGTCGCAAAAACAGATCACATGATCCCAGGACACAGCAACCATTATTAAGTAAGAATCAGGTGCCAAGCGTCTCAATTTTGATCATGTGACTGTCATAAGTGTGAAGAATTGTCATAAGTCACTTCCTTCAGTGCCTTTGTAACTTCCAACAGTCACTAAATGAACTATTGAAAGTTGTATTGCATTCTATTTTGGCTGAAAAAACTAAATAATCCTACTTTTATTAACTAAGATGGATAATCCTTTTTTTGTATCCTGCATGGTTCAAACTATTAAGAGTGCTAACAGTCTTTCCTCAACACGTATGGATACCAATGGATCACAACAATATAATGTGTTATGTCCCTTTTACACCACTACAGTATAAAAAATGTTGCAATAATGACGATGACGGTGGTGGTGGTGACCCCGTGGATCATTTGCTAGCCCTGACGCCTACGCTTTCCTTGAGCTGAGCCATCCGGAAGCCCCTTCGGACTTAACTAAGGAGCCACGGATTCTAGGTCACATTCTAGTGAATTGTGCAAAGCCGGAAAGAGCGGTTAATCGAGCGAGCGTCTTAAAAGGGCGGAGCCACTTGCTGGAGCAGCCTCCAAACAGTCTCGGTCATTATATCGATGTCATTATTCCCGTTTATGTCCCTTCGTCGTCGTTCACTTTGTTGTTCTAATATTCTCTTCTGCTTACACGATTTTCCATTGTTCTTCCTTTTTACTAGTCCTTGACCACAAGGACCAATTACGACCACGATTGAGCCCAAAATTTCTCTTGCTATGTGAAACATAGCAAAGTGAGTAACACGGTTGTTAAGTGAATCTGGCTTCCTCCATTGACTTTGCTTGTCAGAAGGATGCACATTTCACACTTATGACCATTGCAATATCCCTATGGTCACATAGTCAAAATTCGGATGCTTGGCAAGCTTGGCATATTTATGATGGCCACAGTGGCCACGTGATCACTTTTTGCAACAACCTGGCCAGCAAACTCAATGTGGACTATTGGCTAACTTAACCACATACTGAGTCAGTGTGACAAGAAGTCATTCAATGGAGCAGAACTCATTTTAGAATCAGAATAGAGCTGGAAGGGACCTTGGAGGTCTTCTAGTCCAGCCCCCTGCTCAAGGAGAGCCTATACCATTTCAGACAAATGCCTGTCCAGTCTCTTCTTAAAAACCTCCAGTGATGAAGAACCTACAACTTCTGGTGGCAAGCTGTTCCACTGGTTAATTGTCCCCACTTGTTAGGAAGTTTCTCTTCAATTCCAGGTTGCGTCTCTGCTTGGTTACAATTTCCATCCGTTGCTTCTTGTCCTGCCTTCAGGTGCGTTGGAGAATAATTTGACACACACCCCCCCCTCTTCTTTGTGGCAGCTCTAGGGTCTCTAGACAAATGTTTCACTTAGCAATATAAATTTAGGGCTCCATTGTGGTGGTAACTTGAGGACCCCCTCTGTTCTGAGATGGAAATGTAGGCTTATGGTTATGGTTACTGGGCAAGGGGACTTAGAACGCCTCAAGGGATGCAAAGCTGGGTTGGACAAGATCGGAGGGGGCGAGGAGGCAAGAGGCTGCCAGGCTCTGATAAGGGTAGCCGGTCCCTGGCATCGCCCACTTCAGCACCAGGCCCAGGTCTGCAAGCGCCTGACAAGCTCCAGAGAAGGCCAGGCCCCCGGGGGGGGGGTGTCCAAGCCCAGGGAGCCCTTCCCTCCAGAGAGCCTTGTTGCCCCAAGAGCGGCAGGGACGGGAAGCCGGGGGCAGAGGGCCCACCCGGGGCTTCTGCCCCTCTGCCCAGACGTGGGGGGAGGGGGGGCAAGGGGGGAAGTGGGGCAGCCCTCCCTGCTCTGCCTGGAGCCAGCATGCCAGGCTGCCCTCTCGGGGGGGCTTCGCGGGGGGGGGGCTCGGGGGGGCAGGGGGGCCGATTCGCAGCTGTCCCAGCAGAGCGGCTTGAACTCAGGGGCCCCGGGCGGGACTAGAAGACCTCCAGGGTCCCTTCTGGCCCCCTCCCCCCCAACCCCCAGCCCCGCCGCTCTGCTGGCTCCTTGGCGGAAAGCCCGGGGAAGAGCCGGAGCCCCGCTTGGCCGGAGGAGGAGGGAGGAGGAGGGAGGAGGGCGGGGGCGAGCGCAGCCCAGGCAGAGACCCTGGAAGAAGCCCCGCCCCGAGAGCCCCCACCCCCACCCCCCGTGGGGCGTGCAAAACACCGCTGGGCGGGGCGAGGGGCGGGGCCTTCGCGGCAGGAGGAGGAGGCTCTCGGCCACGCCCCTCTCGCGCGCGGGGCAGGCCGGGAGCGGCGGAGCGCGCCTCCTCCTGATTGGCCGGGCGGGGCGCGCGCCAACTTTGAACCGCCGCCCTCACCTTCCCTCCCTCCGGCTCCACTCCCGCCATGGCGCAGGGCAAGAGGCGGCCGACGGCCCGGGGCGCCCCGAAGGCCTCGGCGCTGAACAAGCGGGTGGACGCCTTCCTGAAGGACTTCGACCGCGAGGGTGAGGCGGAGGGAGGGGGCGGGGGGGGAGGGGGAGGGGGGGCGAGGGGGGGGGTCCGGGGCCGGCCTTTGACCGGAGCGCCTCTTGCAGTGCGAGCGCGGCTGGCGCAGGTGCGGGCGGCGGGCGAGAGCCTGAAGAAGGACGTGGAGAACCTGAGCAACATGGAGGTGCTGCGGCTGCCGCTGGCGCTGCGCAAGATGAACTGGGTCGCCTTCCTGGGTAGGTCTCGCCAACCCCCCCCCCGCCCGCCTCGCGCCCCCCCCACCCCCCAGCTAATCCCCCCTCCTCTGCTCCCCCTTGCAGCCCTCGGAGGCAGCGACAAGGCCCTGGAGCAGGTGGCCTCGGTCAGTGAGTAGCCCGGGGGTCGAGGGGAGGGAGGAGGAGGAGGAGGAGGAGGAGGAGGGCTGGGCTGTGGGGGGGGCGAGTGGGGCCGCCTCCTCCCCTTCTGAGATCTGCCCGGCCTCCTTGCCTCCCCTGCAGAGCGAGGTGGACATCGCGGAGATCACCCTGCTGGCCTCCAGGGCCATCCGGACGCCCTTCCGGACCGCCAAGAAAGGTCAGAGGGGGGGGGGGCGGGGAAGAGAGCCCGCCTGATGCCCTCACGGCGCCCAGCTGTGGAATCGAGCGCGGGACCCCGAAGCCAGGCTCCCCTGCGATGCTTACTCAGCCGGAGGGGAGGGAGGGGCTCTCCCAGGCAAAACATGCACTGACATTTATACATTTCAGGGGAGGGGGAGAGGTTGGTGCAGCCATGCATCATCATCATCATCATCATCCCAGCCACTGTCTGACCACTGGAGGAGGAAGGCCCCTCCTGCATGGTTCCAACCCAGGCAGTCCTGGGCTTCCCTTGTTCTTGGGCCAGCAATACTTGCTGATGTCCATCTTGTTTTAGGCCTCTCTTATCAAGCGGGATCCATTCTATGACTGCCTTGGTCCACCTGCCCTCAGGGCTTCTGATGCGTATATATATGTATGTATGTATGTATGTATGTATGTATGTATGTATGCATGTGCCTGTGTATACATACACATGCATGTCTTCTGATACAGTCATACATTTGCATAGGTAATAGGTGATATAAGCATCAATAGTCATAATTAACAAGCTTCAAGTTACTTCCCCGTCCTTCAAGAAAAAGTTACAGGTAGTCCTCGACTTACGATCACAACAGCCCAAAATTTCTGTTGCCGAGACAGCTGTTAAGTGAACTTTGTCCCACTTTATGGCTTTTCTTGGCACAGTTGTTAAGGGAATCACTGCAGTTGTTCAATTGGCAGTATAGACCACCTTGGTTTTGATGGCCAGAAGCCTCCAAAAAGGGGATCACGTGGCCCCAGGACACTGACGGTCATAAATATGAACCGGTTGCCAATCATCCAAATTTGGATGATGTGACCGTAGGGATACTGCAACGGTCATAAGTGAGAAAAGCGGCCATAAGTCCCCTTTTTTCAGTGCTGTCGAACTTCAAATGGTCACTAAATGAATGGCTGTAAATCAAGGACTACTTGCATTGCCTTAATAAAGAGAAATGTTACGTCGCCAAGGCAGCTGTGATGCTGCTGCAGGGAACCGAGCATTTCAAGGTTGCCTCCCTGCATCAGCCTGCATCTCTTGCTCCCCTCCCTTCCTCCAAGAATCCGTCTTCCTCCCACAGCCAAGCAGGCCATTGAGACCATCGATGAAGAGATGGAGACGTCTCTGCTGCCCGCAGGCAAGAAATCCAGGCAGGAGAACCAGGCGGCTGTGGATCCAGAGGTGGCACCCCAGAAGCCGGGGAAGGTAAGGCTCTCTGTCCTTCCGGGGACCTCCACCTTGGCCAAAGGGCCCTGTGGTGACTCCCCTCTAGATCCCTGCCGCTTGAGTGCTGTTTCTGCCTTAACAAAGCAGGCAGCTGGGGGGAGGGGGTGGGCTTGAAAGATTCTGCCTGAGAATGGATCTTTCTCTACTAAGTCCCCTGCACTTCCAGGGACGAACGTTAATAGGCATTAAAATTGTAAAATGAATGGCTGCAGATTTGGGTATGGCTAATCTAGAGAAAAGAAGGATTAGGGGTGGCATGATACCAGCCTTCCAGTATTTGAGGGGATGCCACAAAGAAGAGGGAGTCAACCTATTCTCCAAAGCACCAGATGGCAGGACAAGAAAGTGGGAAACAAGCAGGAAATCAGTCAAGGAGAGAAAAAAACTGGAGTTAAGGGGGAAGTTCCTAACAATGAGGACAATTAACCAGTGGAACACCTTGCCACTAGAAGTTGTGGGTGCTCCAGCCCTGGAGGTTTTTAAGAAGAGACTGGACAGCTATTTGTCTGAAATGGTATAGGGTCTCCGACTTGATCAGGGGGTTGGACTAGAAGACCTCCAAGGTCCCTTCCAACTCTATTCTGAATGAAATGGATGGATGAGTGAGCTACAACCTTGAAAGAGGTTGGGGCCTACAAGCTCTTGGTGAATCCTCTGGTCACACAGCAAGGGGAAGGCAGAGTCATACCTCTCTCCTGTGTTCCAGGTTCAGACCTCAACCAAAAGGCCTCCAAATTCCAAGAGGACACGGCCCCCTTCATCCCGAGCCAAGAATTTCCGAAAAAGGTAATGGGCGGGAAGCCGTGAACAACTCAGCTCAGAGACCAGCAAGGACTCCACATTTCAACCCTGAGCTAGAATTATTCTCTCCTATCAGTGACTGAAACGGAGTTGAACTAAGCCCTGGGAATGGAGGTGAAGGACGCCCAATGGGTTGTCCTTCAGAGAGACCTCTTGAGGCTCTCTTGAAGCCCCTTAAAAGATGCCAGGCAGAAGAAGATGCTTGCCAGGAAGATCTGGGGGTCTCGGAAGGCCACAGAGGCGCCCAAAAAGCCAGCGCACTCCCTGGGCTGCATGAGTGGGAGGAATGGGGTGAAGATGACGGGAAGGGCTAGCGCTGCTTTAGGTCAGACTCCCCACAATACAAAAAGGGGGCTGAGGAACTGGAGAGAGTACAGAGCAGAACAAGGAAGGTGGCGGTGGGTTTGGAGGCGAAACCCCTCGCAAAGGAATGTTTAGCTTAAAGAAGAGGAGGTTAAGGGGGGGACATGATAGCAAAAAAAGGGGGGGAGGGGTGTAGGTCGGCAGAGAGAAGCTTTACAAGCTTGGCCACTTGAAGACCTGTGGACTTCAACTCCCAGAATTCCCCAGTCAGTCATGTGTCCTCTGCAGGCCTTCCAGTGGCCACCCTTGGACGCCCTGGCAGTCGAGCTTTCCAGCAAAAGATCCAAGCTGGAGTTAGAGAGGAATTTCTCGACTGGAGCTTTTAAGCAAGGCAAGAGCCAGTTGTGGCGCCTTCATCCCTGGAGGTTGCCAAGAAAAGTCTGGGCGGGAATTCCTCTGGGATGGGCAGAGCAGAATCGGGATAGAAGACCCCCGAGGTGCCTCCCAGCGCTAAGACGCTGTCATTTCTTCCAAAGGGCAGGACAAAATTTGCAACTTAAGTTATGGAAGCCCCCCATTAAATGAGACGGGTGATCTAGGGAAGGGGAGGGCTTGTCTTGTCTCTTGAGGGGCCATAATTGGAATAAGTGTGTTGAGCAAGGGGGTGGACTTGATGCCCTCAAGGTCCTTTCAAGCCAAGAATTCCAGTCTAGAGCTCTGGCAGCACTGACCCGGTGGCTGCTGCTGCTGCTGTGTTTTAGCAGGCTCAGCAAAGTGAACCCCATCACTCCGGCCAGCCAAGGGAACCCCTCAAAAGCTGCCACTCCTCTGTTCACACCTGCTGGCAAGTTTGACTCCAGGTGAGCCCCTCTGCCAGGCAGGTCTCCAGGGCTGCCTCCGGTGCGGGGCTGGGTGCTAGAAGCTCTGGGGAGGGCTGGCCGCCTGATCTTGCCTGCCTCTGCCCCCAGCGTCTTCAGGACACCCGGCCTGCGGGCCCCTGCCGCCCACGAGCGAGTCTTCAGCATCTCTGTGAACGGCAGCCCCCTGGCAGACAGGAGCGAAGTCTTCCTCACGGTGCCCCTGGGCGGAGGAGAGGTGAGGGCCTTCGGGCGTGGGGGTGGGGAGTATGGAAGCCACCTTTGCCCAAAGGGGCAGCCTTCTCTCCTCCCCAGGATGGAAGTGGCGGGGGGGGGCTTCTGTTTCTCAGCACAGGCATGCCTGCTCCACCTTGGCGTGGGCCGGGGGTCCTTGTGGCTTCTGCATGAATTGGGGGAGATTGGTGGGGTCAGGAGGGCTTGTTCCACCTATCCAGAAAAGATGCTCCAGGGTAAAGTCCTTTTGTTCTCTGCCCAGAACGTCCGGATCAGGGCCAGCGAGCTCTCGGAGAGGGACCTGGCGGGGCTAAGCGCACAAGCCCTGGGCAGCGTGAAGAAGTTGTCGGTAGGCTTGGCTGTTTTTCTCCCTTACGGCCTCCCCCTTTCCGGGTTCCTTGGAGCCTTGTCCGGGCTTGACCAGCCTTCCCGAACGCCTGGGGTCTCCCTGGAGGGAGGGTTGGCCTCTTGATTCCCAGGGACCCCTTTATGGGGATTCACTCCCTGGCCTCAGACAGCCACCCCTCTTGCATAAGCCGCTCTGGGGGTGAACAGAGGCAGAAACCCCAGTGAAGTCGTAAAATAACAGCAGGAATAAAACACAGAAGCCCAGGCCGCCAGCGCAGGCAGTCCCTTGAGCTCTCAGGAGGGCTGGGGGCTGACTCCATTTCACGGCACCGGAGAAGCTGGGAAGAAATCTGTTGCGGTGCAGAGGCTGGGCCATTGTGTGCCAGGAAAGGCTGTTGTGGCTCTGTGGACTCTGCAGGTTGGCAGATTGGGGGCAGCTTTGCTGGGTGGAGGAAGAATTGGGGGGGGGATTGCTGATATGCCTCCTCCTGAGTGGGCCAAGGGGGCCTCCCCATTCCCCACCCTGTGCGGCTTTCCATCTTGAGCAGGATGGGCCCTTCTTCATCCCGGCTCCTTCCGGGAGGAGTTGGGATGGCAACTTTCGGCCGGGCAGCTGGCCGGGGAAGGCCGCCTGGGGACCCATGCGGGGCATTTCCTTCAAGGAAGACCCTCTGACCCCCTGCCTCGGCTCCTCTCCTTCCAGAGTCAACTTGTGCACCTCTGTAACAGACTGGGCAGCCATAAGTAAAGAGGCTTCCGGTCAGCTGGTCGTCGCTTCAGTCCTGGCCTGGGGAAGGGAAGACTTGGCTCAAAGACGTCCTCCAAAGGCTGCAGGTGGCAGGAGCCAGACCTCGGGGGGGTCTCCGCCTACTCTGTGTCCTGCAGAAGCCCCTCGTCTCGCTCTCTCTCTGGGGAGGCCCTCCGCTTAAAAGGGCTTCCGTTTTGTCTGAGGCAGGGAGGGCCCCAGGGCGCTTCCTGCTTCTCTCGGTGGCCCCTCTGTGCAGGGGGGAGAGGCTGGCAGGCGTCAGAGCAGGACTGGGCCCTTCACAGCCCAGGGGTTGGGTGGGAGGGACAGAACACCCACCCATCCCGGATGAATGCCGGCTGCTTTCTCTCTTCCTTTCCAAGCCCTCGTGTGGCTTTCTATTTATCTTCCATTGGGGTGCAAGGACACCGTTTCCTTATTATTTTTGCAATATTTTACAATAAAGTTCGTTGTCGTCTTCGAGGTCTGTGTGGCTTCTTGGGATCATTCTGAGCCTGTGGGAGCCCCTCCCACCCCTCCCCTGGTCCTACCCCCTGCTGCCGGTTGTCCTCTTCCAAAAATGGAGGTTTGGTTGGCTCCAGACAACGTTCAGAGACCCTCCACGTGGGGCGTCCGGAAGAGGCCCCGGTGCTGCCTGGAGAAGAGACGGCTGCAGGGAACCACAGTGGCTGGCTGGACAGAAGTCAGCTGCCCCCCTGGTAATAGCCCGCAGGGTGAGGGACCTGAAAGGAAGGAACTGCAGAGTTAGGACATCCTATTGGTGGATTTAGGGCTTCCTGATCAGGGCCTGATTCTGCTTTGCTCCGGCCCTTTCTGGCTCCTGGTGCTGGAAGGCAGACGTGGAGACCCCAGAGCAGGTTCTTCTCAGGATGGCAAGGCAGCTAGGGACTCTCTCTGCAGAGACTGAGCAGGTGAGGGGGTTGCGATGGTTTTCTCACAAGTGCAAGAAGTCGCACAAAAGAGCAAAGTATGTTCTCTGGTGTTCAACAGTGGCTTGAAGCCACTTTTGCTGCTGATGCACTTGGGGCCAATCCCCAGGAGACGGGCAGGGAGTTCTGTTTAGGCCTGGAAGCTGGCTGGGTGAGCGTCTCTCCTCCCAACCACCTCACAGGGTTGTGGGAAAAAGAGGAAGAAATATTAAATGTTTACTGCCTCAAATAGTCTATAAAAAAATAAAAGTGGGCTATAAATTAAAATGTTAAGAAATGAATGTTACAAAGGACGCATGACGAGCGCAAGAATACTGAGGCTTCTGCCGTTGCATCGGAGGACATGAGTGCAGCTGCCTATTCGCACCCTTTGCACAGCAAGAGTCCCTGCGTGTGTTTCGCGTTTATGGAGCCCTCATTGTCCAGAGTTGCTTTTAGTGAGATGGGCAACTATATACAATTTAATCATAAATAAAGTGATCATCCAGACCAATTGTGCACAACAACCTTTGACGCTGGATTCCACTTCTTAGGCTCAGCAAAAGAGGACAATTGGCATTCCGGGTCTGAGGCCACCTGATTGTTCAAGCCAAGCAAGCAGATTCCCTGGGGAACTGAGTTTTCTTTTGGCCCAGCCCAAGACTGACCCCTTCCATGATTGCCTGTCCGATCCACAAGTGATTTAGAAGAAGTCTGGTGGCCACAGGCTGAGAAGTCTGGTTCGGCAGGTTGAGGCAAAGAGGCAGTCCCGGAACCAGCGAAATCTGGGGGCTGGGCAGGGGACAGAATATCTGCCCTCAGTGTGGAAGGGATTGCCACTCTCGAATTGGCCTTTTTAGTCACACTAGATGCTGTTTTAAGACCTCTTTCCAGAGCACAATACCATAGTCTCTTGAGACTGAAGGATGCCAATGTTAATGGTGGCCCAGAGCATTTTCTCCCCGAGGTCACGCCAAGTCCTCTCCCCAGCAGAGTCCGTCTTCAAGACACTCTTGAGGGGACAGAGGGGCAGCCAGTGTGTGTGTGTGTGTGGGGATATTTCCCCCATAGGAAGCAACTGCCCTCTTAGAACCCTTCCTATGGAGCCATTCAAGTATCAGAGGATACTGGCCACCGGGGACTCTTCTTTCCTTGGAAAAAACAACAGCAGATGTGAAGTTGAAAACAGCCAGCTGGGAATTGAGGTGTGCTCAGGTTCTCCATCTGGGGCAGAGGGAGCTTGTCCTCTCACCAATTTCTGCCTGAAGATGAGAAAAGTGGGTCCTTGGAGTCCCCATGAAAGCTGGATAAATCATCATCTTCCTTGCATGGTTGAGTCCTTTCTCCTCACCTGAAGAAGCTCCTCAACTCCATTCAAGAGCTGCCTCCATCTCCCTCTGCTGGTGAGTCCCTTCTAGCCAGCCTATTGCCCACTTCGGGCACCAGCCTAAGGACCGATTCTGTAAACCAGGAGTGTCCAACCTTGGCAACTTTAAGACTTGTGGATTTCCAAACTCCCAGAAATCCCCAACCAGCATAGCCTTTGCCAAGTTGGAGATCCCTGCTGTAAACCAAAGGCTGATTTTCTTTGGGACTGCCAAATGCACAAAAAGAGGTGATAACATGGAAATGATTGTTTATCGGACATAGCAATAAAAGAATGTTTTGCAAGGATTGGGGCAATCAACCATGGCTGGAATTTGGGACATCACTTTTCTTTGAGGTATCATTTCCTACCTGGAATCTAGATAAGAGAATCTTACTGTGTGAAATAATCCGTAGGCATGTCTGATACGGGAAAATGTCTGTGTTTTTATGGCCCCACCAAATCTAGTCATGGAAATAATCTTAATTATTTATTAAATAAAGTTATCATTATGCAAAATAAATTATATGCTATTATACTATACTTAACAGCATAATTTAGTCAAAGTAGACTATGCTGTATTGATAATGGCAAAAAGTTGCTTTTCATAAAAAAATTGGAAGGCCTGTTAAGCATTATTTATTTATTAGTTTGTCAAACATGTACAAGATAGCAGATATGAATATGAATATGAACGAGGGAAATGAGTACAAATAAATGGGGACAGTAGGACAGGGAGGGTAGGCATGCTGGTGCGCTTATGCACGCCCCCTTTACGGACCTCTTAGGAATGGGGTGAGGTCCACGGTAGACAGTTTAAGGTTGAAGCTGTGGGGGTTTGAGGCTGCAACAACGGAGTCGGGTAGAACATCCCAGGCGTTGACCACTCTGTTGCTGAAGTCGTATTTTCTGCAATTGAGTTTGGAGTGGTTTACCTTGAGTTTGTATTGATTGTTTGCCCGTGTATTATTGAGGTTGAAGCTGAAGAAGTCATTGACAGGTAGGACGTTGTAGCAGACAATTTTGTGTACTATGCTTAGATCAGACCGCAGGCGGTGCAGTTCCAGATTGTCCAAGCCCAGAATTCCAAGCCTGGTGGCATAAGGGATTCTATTGTGAATAGGGGAGTGGAGGACTCTTCTCGTGAAATACCTCTGGACTCACTCAATCGTATTAATGTCTGATATACAGTGTGGATTCCAGGCAGACGAGCTGTATTCGAGAATTGGTCTGGCAAAGATTTTGTATGCCCTAGTTAGCAATACAATGTTACTGGAGAAGAAGCTTTGCAAAATTAGGTTAACAACTCTTAATGCCTTTTTGGCAATGCTGTTACAGTGAGCTCTGGGGCTGAGATCGTTTGAGATGAGTCCTTCACAGAATACTAAGTCGTTTCCACCCAACTTGGTGTTCTGGTTTTTATTGCCAATGTGTAAGACAAAGCATTTGTTAGTTGAGATTTGGAGTTGCCAAATGCGCGACCATTCTGACACATGGTCAAGGTCGCTTTGTAGGGCAGCAGCATTGTTAAGTAATTTTTAAGGGCAGCAACAGTGTTAAGTAATTTTACGTCATCAGCGAAGAAGACGCAGCTGCTTTTAATATGATCGCATAGGTCGTTGATGTAAAGCAGAAAAGATGTGGATCCTAGAACACTGCCTTGAGGGACACCGCTGTTAACTGGTGCCGGGTTTGATAGGGCCCTCCCTATTTTGACTACTTGTTGCCTGTTTGACAGGAACGCGGCTATCCATTTGTGAAGAGGATCTGGAAATGCTGTAAGAACTTAGTTTTAATAGTAGTTTGTTGTGCACCACTGATTCAAAGGCTTTGCAGAAGTCTATGTAAATTGAGTTTATTGCTTTACCCTGGTCAAGATGTGTGGTCCAAATGTTTCTGCACTGTAGGAGTTGCAGATTACAGGACAATTTTTTCCTCAAACCAAACTGGCTTGTTAGAAAGCAGGTTCTTTGTCTCTAAGTGGAGAGTGATGCCAAGAGGTTGGTCATAATTGTATGACCTTGGTCATATGAACAAACTAACTGCACTACTACCGTGGGCAGCTTCCTGTCCTCATCCCCTTATCTTTCTTGGTGACCTCAATTTGCCTCTTATTAATTGAACCCTAAACAAATGTACAACTGAACCTATACATGCAACCCTGTACAATGTTGCTACAACTCTGGGGCTGGAACAGTTGGTAACAAACAACACTAGGCTCAACAACTGCTTAGATCTCATCTTCTGCAATAGTCTAAACTGAATTTATGGCCTACAAGTTAAAAGAACCTTTTTCCAAGAGCATGATTGATTTTTGTTTCAATTTATCTCCTTGCAAAGAGGGTCATAATGATGGGACTCCAAATTATAACTTTAAAAAAGGCAACTATGATCTCATAGCTGTTCACAGGTTGTAATACTGCAGGAGACCACTATAACACTTTTTGATCGAAATCAATAGAGTCATTAACCTATACGTACCAATAATAACCCCTAAAGCCAAAACAAAAAACAAAAAACCAAATTCCCTATAATCCAAGAAAAAATCTCTTTGGAGAGAAAACAAAACTGGCTATGTAGCTAACTTTAAAAACTGCTATAAAGCCTTATGCCGCCAGATAAAGGCAGAATGTACCAGTCACCATTGCAAACAGGAGGAAGAGCTGTTACACTCAAAACCCACCCAAGCCTTCTATAATTTCATAAATGCCAAACTTAAAGACTCGAAAACTATCCCACCCCTAAAAGGGCCTAACGGGGAAGACTGTAACAATGAAGCTGCTAAGGCCTACTATCTCTTCAATACGTTCTTCAGTTCAGTCTTTGTCGACAGCAATGGCTGCTGCCCCACATTTCCTAGTCGTACCATAACTAATGGTAATGATTTACTACATATTGATTTCACAGTAGATAATGTTGAAACCTAAAGCCATCTCTATCTCTTGGCCCTGATGGATTATGTGCTTGCTTCTTAAAAAAGCTCGCCACTGCCATAGCTGAGCCTCTGTGCACAATCCATGAGGCATCTTTCAGAACCAGCTCCTTGCCAGGCCTATGGTCATTAGCCACAGTCATACCTATCTTTAAAAGGGGAGGCCATGTAGTTTTCTAGTAGAAAGTTACAGACCAATCTCATTGTGTTGCATCACCTGTAAAGTCATGGAATCAATTATAAGCCAATCCACCCAACCAAGAGGTTGGCTGTGTTTTCCTCCTGAACTCTCAGAATAACAGAATCACAGGTTGGAAGGGACCTTGGAGGTCTTCTAGTCCAACCCCCCAGCTCAAGCAGGAGACTCGATACCATTCCAGAGAAATGATTGTCCAGTCTCTTCTTGAAAATTTCCAGTGATGGAGCACCCACAATTTCTGGAGGCAACTTCTGTTCCACTGGTTAATTGTCCTCACTGTTAGGAAGTTTCTCCTTAATTCCAGGTTGCTTCTCTCCTTGCTTAGTTTCCATCCGTGGCTTCTTGTCCTGCCTTTGAGTGCTTTAGAGGATACGTTGACTCCCTTTTCTCTGTGGCAGTTCTAGGTAGGGTTTTCCGAAGTCAGCTAGCAGGCAATTTCTCCTCTTTGGTCAGTATTTACAAACAAGAGTTTCCAGGGGGAAGAAAAGAATCCAATAAACTGTATTGGATTTCTTTCTGGTCGAAATTCTTAGAATAGAGTACAGCTGGAAAGGTCCATGGAGGTCTTCTAGTCCAACCCCCTGCTCAGTCAGGAGACCCTACAATTTGAGGCAAGGGGCTGTTGTTCCACGGGTTAATGGAACACTCACGGTCAGGAAGTTTCTCCTTAATTCTAGTTGCTTCTCTCCTAGATTAGTTTCCATCCATTGTTTCTTGTCCTCTTTCCTCATTAAGAATGCTTCATTAATGTTTCTTCATTAGCTTCTTTGAAGTACTTCTCAAAATATTGCCTCGTCACTCATTACAGCATCATATCCTAGAAATTCTAGCAACGTAATTTTTACTAATGAAGTGGCTGGTTCCCTCTGAATGAAAGCTACGGCCCCTGCGGGTGTAACCACACCAATTGTAACCTCTCCACCTTCTTTCTCCCTCCTTCGGTAGAGTCCTCCACCAGAGGATTGGACCCTGGGCTTGGGTGCGATGAGTCAACATGCTTCAGGAACCCCAACAGCCCAGCAACCAGAGCAACCTCCCTCCGGCTTCCTTCATCCTGGTTGGCATCCCTGGCCTGGAGGAATACCACAGCTGGATGGCGGTGGCCTTCTGCCTGATGTACCTCTTTGCGCTTCTGGGAAACCTCTCCTTGCTCTTCCTTATCTGGATGGAGCACAGCCTCCACGAGCCCATGTACCTCTTCTTGGCCATGCTGGCAGTGGCCGACATGGCCTTGTCATCCTCCACTGTGCCCAAAACCTTGAGCGTCCTCTGGTCCTACTCCAAGGAAATCTCCTTTGACGGCTGCCTTGCCCAGATGTTCTTCACCCACATCAGCTTCATCGCAGAGTCAACCATCCTGCTGGCCATGGCTTTTGATCGCTATGTTGCCATCTGCTGGCCATTGCAATACACCTCCATCCTGTCTCCCTCCGTGGTGGCCAAGACCGGCTTAGTGGCTCTGGTCAGGAGTTTCTGCGTGATGTTCCCGACCATCTTCCTCCTCAAGAGGCTGCCTTATTGTGGGAAAAGGGTGATGCCCCACTCCTACTGCGAGCACATGGGCATCGCCCGCATGGCCTGTGCCAATATTGCTGTCAACATTTGGTATGGCTTTGTGACAACTCTTCTGTCTCCCGGATTAGACATTTTCCTCATTGCTGCTTCTTACCTCCTGATCCTCAGGGCCGTCTTCAGGTTTCCTTCCAAAGACACCCGCCTGAAGGCCCTGGGGACCTGCGGCTCTCACTTCTGCGTCATCCTGATGTTTTACACCCCAGCCTTCTTCTCCTTCTTTGCCCACCGGTTTGGCCATGGCATCCCCCAGTCTGTCCTCATCCTCCTGGCCAACCTCTACCAGCTGCTGCCACCAATGCTCAACCCCGTGGTCTATGCTGTAAAAACCCAGTTGATCTGGAAGAGGCTCAGGGGGGCCTTCGGCAAGTGAGGCAGGGGTCCCCACTGCACCCACAAATGAGGTGGGGGTGGAAGAGCCAACTCCACCGACCCTCATTTCTGTTGCTGGGATGGACTTTTGCACTGTGAGAAAACAGTTGGACTCCACTCAATCCTATCAAAAGCATTTTTATTGTCCTCCTCCTAAAGTTTGTTTTGCTCTGAGTTAAGGGTTGATAAACTGTGCTACTTTTCTGCCGAACAGGTGACATTTTTTGCTTCCTCTTAAAATGATGAGGTTTTTTTTCCTTTACTTTCTTTTCAATATTCAGAGTACCATATTCCAAAATGTTTTCAATTTTCACTTTGAAAATGAAGCTTTGGAGGTATCTATAAATGCTCTTTTGAGGACTGATGTAGGCTTTCAGAGATTAAACTGCTTTTGCAATCATTGCTCAGGTCAAAAAGAATTGGTCACAAATATGCCCCACTCACCTCCCGAAGCCCATGTTGGAGAAGACAGAAAGCCCAGAAGCCAAAGGATGTCTCTCTTTTGCCTCAGATTCAAGATTTGGTTCCCTCGTTCTAATCTACGTTATCAGCCAGTATCAGCCCTACCAGGTAAACCAGACAGGAGATGCAACTAGATGAGCTAATTCTATTTTATGGCATAATGACACTAACAGACTCTTGCAAAGTGTGTTGTACCTTCAGAAAGGTACAGATTTCCCATCTCCATTTAACCATTCGATCAATTAGGGAAGGTTCTTTCTCCAACTATTAAGCCCCAGGGGCTTCCTTCCTCTCTGGTTTGATTATATCCTAGGCAGCCTCTCTTCCCATCCCTCAAGGTCATCCCCTCCATTCCCATCCCTTCTCCCTCTCTCCCCCCCCACTTTCTATTTATTTATTTATTTATTTATTTACTTATTTATTTATTTATTCGGTTTATATATGCCGCCCTTCTCGGCTTACAATGCATTAAGCAATAGCCTTCATACTTTTGTATAGTACCTGCTTAGTAGGGCTTTTTGGCCCCCCCTAAGTGGTGTTCTATTTTATATAAAGTCAGCTTATTGCCCCCATAAACCGGGTCCTCATTTTACCTACCTCGAAAGGATGGAAGACTGAGTCAACCTTGAGCCTGGTGAGAATTGAACTCGCAGTAATTGCAGGCAGCTGGCAGCTAAGTGCTACTTTAACAGCAGTAGTTTAGTCCACTGCGCCACCAAGGCTCTTTCTCTCTCTCTCTCCTGGTGGAGATGCTAAAAAAAGCTAAGGCTCAGAATGAAATAAGACTCGCAACAAACGTTTGTTTGTTCAACATGTAAAAAAGAAGAAAAAAGTGAAGGAAACAATTGGTCCACTAATGGGAGAAAATGGCAAGAAGGTGACAAGCAGCAGGGAGAAAGCAGAACTACTTAATTCATAATTTGCATTTGTCGTTACACAAAATGAAAAAAATAATTCAACTTATCAAAAGCAGTATCGTAAAAGATTAGGAATACAACTCAAACTAGGCAACAAATGGTAAGAGGACATTGTTCCACCCTAGATGAGTTTGAATCATCAGGACCTGACAGATGACATCCCAGAGTTCTGAAGGAGCTGGCAGAGGGGGTCTCAGACCCACTGACCCATATCTTTCAGAGATCCTGGAGACCTGGGGAACTATCTGAGGAGCGGAAAAGAGCTGATGTGGTTCCCATCTTCAAAAAAGGAGGGGAAAAAACAGATCTTGAAAACTACAGACCTATCAGCCTTACATCAATACTTGAGAAGATTCTGGAAAAGATAATCAAGCAACAGATCTGTGAAGCAAAGCTATTACTGGAAGCCAACATGGGTTTGTCAAAAATAAATCACGTCACACAAACATCATTGGATTCTTTGACAAAGTCACTAAATTAGTGGACTAGCTAAATGCAGTGGACATTGTATACTTGGATTTCAGTAAGCATTTGACAACAACCTACTTCTTGGTAGGTCAGAAAAATGTGGGTTAAACAGCATCACCCCCAAATGGATTCGTAGCTGGCTGACCAGCTGCCCCCAACCTATAGTCCTTAATGGAACTGCATCTACTTGGAAGGAAGCATGCAGTCAGTGGGGTAGCCTTGGGGTATCCCAAGGCTCTGTCTGAGGCCCAGGACTCTTTGATGTTTTCTTAAACTATTGAGATGAGGGGATAGAAGGGAAATTCATCACTTTTTCAGGTGACATGTACTGGGGGGAAGAGCCAACACCCCAGAAGATAGGCTCAAGATCCAGAAGGATCTGGACAGACTTGAACACTGACCCCTATTTAACAAAATACAATCCATTGGTGAGAAAAGGAAGGAATTACACATAGCAAGAAAAATCAAATGCACAGGTATAAAATAGGTGGTACTCAGCTCAGCAGCACTAACTGTGAAAGGGATCTAGGCAATCATTTATGGTTATGAGCCAGCCATGTGCAGCAGCTGCCAAAAAAGCCAATACTAGGCTTCATAACAGAGGGAAGGAATCAAGATGACGTGAAGGGTTTATACCACTTTATACAGTACTTCACTAGTAAGATCAACTCTTGGAATAGGGCATCCAGTTTTGATCACCACAATACAAAAAGAGGCTGAGATTCTGGAAAGAGTGCAGAGAAGAGCAACAAAGAGGATTAGGGGATTGGAGGTTAAAACATACAAAAAACGGTTGCTGGAATTGGGTATGGCTAGTTTAATGAAGAGAAAGAGTAGAGGTGACATGATATTTGAGGAGCCATCACAAATTGTGTTATTTTCCTTGGGTTCCTTTCTTTTTTCAATTTATATGCTAGCCATCTGCCTGGTTTATTAGCATCTTCAAAATATTTCTGTTTAGCATTCCTGATTTTTTGTGCTAGCTCTTCTTTCTCTAATAATCCCATTTTATGTTTAATCGTGTCCATTTTCATTTTAATGTCTTTTTTTTTTATTGCAAAAGTTTTACAATTACATTTTCACCCCTTTTTCCCCCCCAACACCCACCCCAAACTTCCCAGCCTCCCTAACCCTCCCTAACCCTCCCCTCCCCCCGGACTTCCACACAATATAGTCATATCAAGTAAAGAAACCCCCCTTAATATAAAACTTGTATAAAACTTGAACCCCTCCCTCCCCCTTATATATTTTTTTTCTTTTTTTTCCCTTTTCATTACATTAAAATATCTCTAATACATTATTTTCAAATGAAGGCTATTTGGTACTTCCTAGTTTGATATTTATTCTGAATATATTCTATCCACTTTTTCCATTCCCATTCATAAGTCTCTTGTGAACAGTCTTTTAAGTATGCTGAAATCTTCGCCATCTCTGCAAAACTGGCCATCTTCAAAGTCCATTCCTCAATAGTGGGCAAGGCTTCATTTTTCCAGTATTTACCTATCAACAATCTTGCTGCTGTTATCATATACAATATCAGTTTTGTTTCACCCAATGTAAAGCCCTTAACTATACCCAATAAAAACAGTTGTGGAGAAAATTGAATTTTTTTCTTCAAAACATTCTGCATGACCCACCAAATTTTTATCCAAAAAGCCTTAACTTTCCTGCAGGTCCACCAAACATGATAATATGTGGCATCTAAACAATCACATCTCCAACATTTTGGCTGAACATTAGGGTACATGCACGACAACTTTTTGGGATCTAAATGCCATCTATAAAACATTTTATAGAAATTTTCCCTCAAATTCTGAGACTGTGTAAATTTAACATTCTGAACCCAGATTTTTTCCCATGTTTCCAACATCACTGATTCTTCAAAATTTTGTGCCCATTTAATCATACAATCTTTAACTAATTCAGTTTCTGAGTCCCTTTCTAGCAAAACATTATAAAGCCTTTTGATATGCATTGGACCTTTCTCTTTTATATGTCTAACCAATTCTTCCTCATGCAACATAATACCAGTTTTTTGGTCCTCTTTCCATCTCGATTGTAATTGATTATATTGTAGCCAAGTTAAGTTAATCCCTTCAGCCAACAATGTCTGTAATGTCTTCAGCTGCCATCTGCCCGCATCTGTAAAAAGAACCTCTTTGTATAAACCCCCCCCGAGTGACATTATATTTGTATTCCACATAATATGACCAAGATCCAGCCATAGCGGTATTTTATAATCCCATTTGAATCGGTGCTTCTTCCAAACTCTCATCAAAGAATCTCTAAGTATATGGCTTTTAAATACTTTATCAACTTTGTCGTCATAAAATAAGTAAGCATGCCATCCAAATTCAAGATCAAAACTTTCTATATTCAATATTCCAGCCTTTAATGTCTTTTTTTTGTGGGAACTTGCGCAGAAGCATTTTGATGACCTCGGGGTCGGTGGGCGGAGCCTCCCGCTGGTTTTACTACCAGTTCTATTGAATTGGTGCGAACCGAGGGCAACCCACCACTGGGACCTACCCAAGTAAGAGACATGCAGGGCTCACTGGCAGACCAGAAGGCCCAAACAGGCAGAAGAGTGCATCTTTGTTTGTTTGTTATTCATTTATTTAATCAAATTTATTGGCTGCCCATCTTACCAAAGAGTAACTCTTATATCTCCTTGTATTTCATGCCTCATTTCCATCCAAAAAACAGCAGAGGACTTGGCCGGGCCTTCTGAACAATTCCGAGAATAAAGCTCTCTTTTATAAATAATAACAATGCCAAACACGTAAGCCATTTTTTTTATTTGAGGTTTAGAATCCTTCCTCAACACTGAAGGAGCTGGAAATCAGATTCATTTCTAGGGGGCTACTTGGAGGACCAGTACAGACCCTCTGAAAAGTATTCTTTTCTTAGGAGGAGGAACAGGGACCAACCTTTCTCTACTGTTCTGAAATGCCAGGCCAGGATTGCATAGACAAACCTATTTGGATTTCCAATGTTTGCTCTTTCTACTGCAGATCAGAGCCTTCGTTAAAAATAACAGCATTCTTTCTGACACAATAAAGGAGTTTCTGATACCCCTTAAACCTTAAAACAAACTGGCTGAGTCTGTTCTGGGAATTTTAAATTGGGGGTTTTAAACTGAGTTTTAATTGTTAATTTAAATCATATTTATTATTGTTGTTTTTATTGTGATTTTATTGCTGTGAGCCGCCCCGAGTCCCTCGGGAGAAGGGCAGCATATAAATTTTAATAAACTTAAACTTAAATGTGGAATTGCAATGTTGCTCTGAATCACAGCAATGCGTGAAGAAAGTCCATGGCGGATATAAGATCATAGATCACAACGTTTGCAGTCCAGACTCCCACCGAGGTCAGGCTCTCACTGTTCTTTCTCCCTCTGAAACTTCTTCAGGATCCGAAGGCGGATTTGTTTGGTCTTCACACTGTACACAACAGGGTTGGTCACGGGGGGCAATAACAGAAAAGCGTTGGCGATGAGGATGAAGGCGATGGGGTGCTCCTGCCTCCCAAACCGATGGATCATGCTGAGCCCAAGCATGGGGACATAGAAGCTGCAGACCGCACAGAGGTGGGAGACGCAGGTGCTGAGCGCCCGGAAGCCTTCCTCCTTGGAGGCAACTCCCAGGACGGTCTTGAGGATCAAGAAGTAGGAGAGGACTAGCAGGACTGAATCCACTCCTGTGGATGAGAGCATAACTATCAGGCCGTAGACGCTGCTGTTCCTCCTATCTGAATGAACTAACTTCAGGAGATCCGGGTGCAAACACATGGAGTAGGAAAGCACATTTATGCCTCCAAATTCCTGAAGACTCATAAGGATGGGGCCTGGCAGGACAAGGCAAACGGACCGGATGGCGCCAACCACCCCAATCTTAATCACCATCCCATTGGTCAAAACACTTGTGTATCTCAGAGGGTTCCGGATGGCCACCAAGCGATCGAAGGCCATGGCCAAGAGAATGCCAGATTCCATAATGGAGCAAGCATAGATGAAGGTCATCTGGACCAAGCAGGCCTCAAAGTGGATCTCACGGTGGTTGAACCACAGCACGCTCAGCGTGGTGGGTAAAGTGGCAAAGGATAAACCCAGGTCCGAGAGGGCCAGCATGGAAAGGAAATAGTACATGGGGGAGTGGAGAGTTTGGTCCGTCCTGATGACGAAGAGGATGACGCAGTTCCCCGTGATGGCCACCAAGTACATGCAGCAGATGGGGAGGGAAATCCAGAAATGGAGTTTTTCTAGGCCAGGAAAGCCTGTCAGGAGGAAAATTGGGGGGCTGAAGTCTGAGTGGTTGATGAACATGGGGATATTTCTGGATTGTTTTCTTCCCTGGAAAGGAAGAGCACAAAAAGTCATTCAGAGAGCCTCAGCATATCTGAAACAGCACATCCAACCAGTTTTCATTTTCATAGCTGCTGGTCCTGTAAAAATTGGGCTCCTGCTTCCAGGTGTGCTGAATTTATCATAAATTGCACCCACTTGGTGGGGGGGAGAGTTCTGGGTACAGCTCCAATGTGCTTGCAGGTCATCAACAGGTTGGAGAGGCTGACATATATTCTTCTCTACTGACCTCCTTGTCTACCCTCATTACGGCTTATACCACACACACACACACACACACACACACACACACACACAGTCTTTGCTGCTGTTTCTCTTACATCTAGTGGTGAAACCATTCCTAAACCGCCACCTTCTCACCTTCCTGGAGACCTTCAGCTCAAGCCCAGATACACCGGTTTAGCTCATATTCTTTAAATAAGAGCGATAGCAGCAGAAAACTCCTGTTGGCCCCTGGAAGAAACTGGGTCCTTCGTCTCTGTGGCTTCCCCAGTGGAGGGAGAGCTCTGGCTGTTGGCTTCCTCCTCAGGTTTATCCTAACTCTGCTGCTGCTCTATTTTTTTATTATTTCATGGGCGGGGATGATGAAAGTGGTGGCGGTGGCGGCTGCTAGTTCTCACAGTCCAGGAGAAGAAACAAATCCGATCCGCCATGCCGTGCCATGCCGTGCCATGCCAAGCCTTCCTGGTTGTCCACAATATTTATGGCTGACTCTTCCTTCTGTCCTTCCCCGGAGAAGGCTGGCTCAGCTGCTGCTCAGTGGGGCTCCGGGCTGCCCTTGGCTGCCCCAGAGGATTCTCCCAGGCTGGATTGCTTGCGCGGAAGAGCAGGGACCCAGCCGAGCAGCTCCTGCTGGAGAACCTTGAATGTTCCTGGCAAGGGGTTTCTTCCTGGCATCTGCTCCACTTGCGACCTTCCCCTGCAAAACCCACCCACTTCTCCATCCAGCCTCTGTGTAGCCACTCCAGTTGGCTGTGCTTCACCAACGCTTGGAATGGACCTTGAGTCAGGAAGGTGCCCTGGGGCTCCTTCGGTGGTCTCGGGAAGGGTGGCAAGTGGGCAGGGCCAAGGAAGGGGAGGGGCACTCTGAGACGCCCGGTGCTGATGGGCCTCCTCCTCCTCCTCCTCCTCTTTGTCCCGTGGGCACTTTTTCTCACCAGCTGGCCAGTGAACCACACACACCTCTGACTAGCCAAGGGCTGCATGTGCAGTAGAGCCAGGGATCTTGCCCAGTGGTGAAATCTAAAATTTGTTACTACCGGTTCTGTGGGCGTGGCTTGGTGGGGGAGTGTTAATATGACTGGGTGGGCGTGGCCAATTTTTCTTTTTTTACTTTTAAAACCATTTTTTCTAACACCTCTTTGACGAAGAGGTTGTAAAAAATGCTTTCAAAAGGCTGTGACAATCCCAGCTGAGTTGCCTGATCGTCAGAGGGTTTTTTAAAAAGCCTCTGCCGATCAGGCAACTCAGCTTGGACCGTCAGAGGCATTTAAAAGAAAAAAAAGCCTCTGATGATCAAGCGGCTCAGCTGGGCATGGGGGGAGGGGGTACCGGTTCTCCGAACCACCCGCCTCCATCGCTACTGGATCGGGTGATTCGGTCCGAACCGGGAGCATTTCACCCATGATCTTGCCTTCTTGTCTTGATCCCTCACCCACAGATCCCTTTCAAAGGATCTGTGCATCAGTAGGTTGCATCCACGGAGTTTGATAGTTTCAAGATCATGTGAAGTAGTAATACTGCTTTATGCTGCCTTTATGCCTGTATCCAATTCCGGTCACTGTGATACAAAAAGGAAGTTGAGACCCAAGAAAAAGAGAGCAGAAAAAGAGCCAGAAAGGGCATCATTCCATGCTCAGATTGGCAGAGTGCCAGCCAGAGGTGCTCCGTCCTCCCAGTTAATATGGCACCTCTTGAAGTATACATCATTGATTATTTAGGGAGCCTCTAGAATTCATAACTTAAATTACAGGTAGTCCTTGACTTACGACCAGATTTGAGCCCAAAATTTCTCTTGCCAAGCAAGACAGTTGTTAAGTGAGTTTTGCCCCATTTTATAACCTTTCTCGCCACATTTGTTAAATGAATCACTGCAGCTGTGAAGTCAATCTGGCTTCCTCATTGACTTTGCTTGTCCAACGGCCACAAAAAGTGATCACGTGATGCCGGGACACCGCAACCATCATAAATATGAATCAGCTGCCAAGTGTCTAAATGTCGATCATGTGATCGTGGGGATGCTGCAAAGTCGTAACTGTGAAAAATGGTCTTAAGTAACTTTGAACAGTCCGTGAATGAACTGTTGTAAGTCGAGGACTATGTATATGAGTCAATCTTGCCATTGCGGGAATGTTTTCTGAATCTCCTCACCTGACCTTGTCCAGAATAACAGAACAAGTTGGAAGGGAGCTTGGAGGCCTTCTAAGGCCTCCTGTCCCCCTCTGGAGGAAGGGCCCCTGGCTCTCTGCCAGGGCTCCCCCACCCCTTTCGATGAACCCTTCAGGCGCTTTTCTCTGGCTGCTTTCACAGGCATCTTATATTCTGTGAACCAAGCTGCTTCAGGGGGCAGAAAGCCTGACAACCCCCGGGAGGAACTCTGGCTCTTCTGTGACAGGGAAGCAGCCAAGAAGGCGGTAGGCCAGAGAAGCCCACAGTGGGGCCAATGGGCCCACAGCAATTGAGACGCTGCCAGGGAGAGCGTGAGGGCCAAGCAGCTGCGTCCTCCCTTTGGTTTTGCCAGCCAAGCAGATGGAGAGGCCTCCTTGGGATGCTGGACGGCCCCCGCCCCCACCCCGGCAGAACCCCCGGGACAGCTCTATGCCAGGAGGATCGTCCCCACCTGCTTCCTGGGCTCAGCACTGGGGAGATTGATCTTCTGCCTTTGGAAGCAACCTAGAGGGAGGAAGCAAAGGAGGGGCCATCAATCCTAGAAAGAAACTTTGGTGCCAGCAGGGAGTGCCAGCATTTCCCTGAAGATCGAGGCCTTTGGCCAAATTCTCCGGGTGATCCTGAAAGAGCTGCAAGCTGCAGGTTCCCCTGGTAAAGGCAGCACGATGGGTGGCTCAGTTGCCCTGAGAGATCTGTGAGCTGGACTGGGAGACTTGTGGCCAAGACTCCTCGGCAGAAAACAAGAGAAGTCTCTGAAGTTGGCCATCGAGCCATCTCCCTTGCTTGCCCAGAGGTCCTCCTTCTTTCCAAAGACATCCACACCAACTCCACAAATGGATGGGTGAAAGCATCACCACAAAAGACAAGGTCTCTTCCACGCCCTTCTGTGCAGAGCCCTGGGAGACGGGAAGCTGCGGCACGCAGAAGATCATACATTGCTAGAGAAACACAGATTAAACCAGGTAAGGAATGATCAAATGAATTCAGGGGTCCTGGGTCGGGGGGGGGCTTCCCCCCACACACAAACTGTTTGAGAACTGGCAGGGCCATTGACTGAAATCTTTAAGAAATCCCCCAGTACTGGGCAAAGAAAATCAAAACAGTGCAATTAACAAAGCCAGCACGATTTGTTTTAAAAAGGTCATGCCAGACAATTTTCACTGCTTTTTTTGACAGTGTGATTAAATTAGTGGACCAAGGGACTGCTGTGGATGGGACTTCATAAGGCATGTGACCAAGTAGACCACGGCCTCCTTCTTGATGAACCAGAACATGGTGGGCACATGATCTCATTGGCAGATGGAATCGCAGTTGGCTGGACAACCCTATTCAGAATAACAAAACAATCTAATAACTTGAGTTGGAAGGGAGCTTGGAGGTCTTCTAGTCCAACCCCCTGCTCAAGCAGGAGGCCCAAGACCATTTCAGGCAAAATCTCTTCTGAAAAACCTCCAGTGATGAAGAACCTACAACTCCTGGAGGCCAGCTGTTTCCCTGGTTAATTGTTCTCACCATTAGGAAATTTCTCCTTAGTTCTTGGTTGCTTCTCTCCTCGATTAGTTTCCATCTGTTGCTTCTTTTCCTGCCTCCAGGAGCTCCTCTTCTTTTGGGCAGCCCCTCAAATACTGGAAGACATGTCCCCCCGGTCCTTCTTTTCTCTAGGCTAGACATACCCAATTCCTGCAACTGTTCTTTGTATGCTTTAGCCTCCAGTCCCCTAATCGTCTTTTTTGCTCTCCTCTGCACTCTTTTCTAGAGTCTCCACATCTTTTTTTACATTGTGGTCACCAGAACTGGATGCAATATTCCAAGTGTGGCCTTACTGACGTAGTATAAAGCAATAATAACACTTCACGTGTTCTTGATTCTATCCCTCTGTTAATGCTGTTAATGTTATTGCTGAGCACATTGTAAGCCGCCCTGAGTCTTCGGAGAAGGGCGGCATATAAATCAAATTTAAAAAAAAAAAAATGCAGCCTAGGATTGTGTTGGCTTTTTTGGCAGCTGCAGCACACGGCTGGCTCCTTAAGTGACGGCCCACCAGGACTCCAAGATCCCTCTCACAGTTACTACTGTTGAGCCAGGTACCCCCTCTTCTATACGGGTGCTTTTTTCCCCCTTCCTAAACATTCCGAAGGAAACTGGTGTTTTTCCTTTCACCTAATGCCGAACCATCTTTAACCTTCGGTCTACCAAGATCAGACCAATTCCCAAATCCTTCGCATAAGGACTACTGCTCAGTGTCAACCCTGAAGCTGACGCTAAGCCAGGCACCACCACCCATCCTGTAGCTCTGCTCCAGGTTTTTCCTGCTGAAGGGCAGCAAGTCACATTTCTGATCACTGAACAGCACTGAACAGTATGTTCAAGTCCATCAAAATCTTTGTGAACCTTGAGCCTGTATCTTGGGGTGGCAGCAATCTCCACAAAAAACTTTGTGTCATCCGCTAATTTTGTACACATCCCTTCCATTCCCTCATGTAAGAAAATGTTGAAGGTTAGGGGCTCGAAAACTCAGGAACCCACTGCAGAGCTCCCTCCTTGTGGACAGTAAGGACCTTCCATTGACTATGCGTGTCCAGCCTACTGGGATTCCGTCTTGTAGGGGAGAGCTGGTTCCTCATGCTGGAAAGCCTTGCTAAGAGGGAGGGAAGGAAGGGAGAGGTTAGAGCTTCACAAGCCAGGGGCAGCTTATCTGCCCACATTGAGAGTGGAAGGTTGTAGAACAAACCTCAGGCAGCTACTGCCAGACCTGTTTCCCTCCTGGGTGGGCATTTGACTTTGAGAGGTCCTTCGAGTTCTTCCTTTGGACCTACGAGGCTCCAAGGAGTCTGATCTCCAAGGGATCAGGGAAGATACACTTCTGTGTGTGCTCTGCATCTGTGGGTCTTCCTGTCAGGCTTGTCCCAACTTTGGCGCTTAGGAAAGAAAGACCCTCGACTCCATTGTTGAAGTGAAAGGTTCATTAGTACTCAGTTCAAGCAGTTACAGCATAAGCCAAGCTGGATATGAATATTCCCATGCAAAATCTGCATTTTCCCCACATCCCTGGGTTCCTCCCCCCCTTGACCAGTCCATCAGTGTCCAATAGTATTCATTTCAGATGGGAATGGCTTTGAGGTTTGGTGCCTCTTTGGTGGAGTTTCACATTCCGATCTCACGGTCCTTGATCAGCTGGTTCATTCCTGATTGACATCTCTGGTTCCTGTCACCCTGTCATTCCCTCCCTTCCTTCCCCTGCCAATTCCCTACTTTCCCATCCTCCTCCCTCCTCCCCTGCATTTTGTGGCAGGATGCTGAAGATGGCAGGCCTGGCACTTCCCTTGTTTCAGGAGCAGCAGGGAAGAATGGGAAGAGCATTTGAGAAAGCCATGCGTCCTTTGGTCCGGGCAAGGATTGTTAGGATACAAGAACTGACAGATGGGTGAGGGAGGCAGATGTCAGCCACAGGGGTAGGGTGGGTGGGTCCCAGGTGGTTCCTCAGGAAGCCCAGAACTTTGCAACCATCAGAGGTCTCTTGTCTTTTCCATGCCTTCAGCCCAGAGGCAGCTTGGAGCATGCAGGGTGGGACACCTGCCATGGTGGACAATGGAACAGAAGACCTGGGTCAGATCTCCTTCATAATGGTGGGCATTCCTGGCCTGGAAGCTTTTCACTTCTGGATCGGCATCCCGCTCTGCCTCATCTACATGGTGACTTTGGTGGGGAACATCATTGTGGTCTTGGTCATCAAGATGGAGCCTGATCTCCACAAGCCCATGTTCTTCTTCCTCAGCATGCTGGCCATAAATGACCTGCTCCTCAGCACCACCATTCTGCCCAAGATGCTGGGCATCATGTGGATGGGCTCAAGGGAGATTGGCTTCAGCGCCTGCCTGCTTCAGATGTACTTGGTCCACACCCTCTCCATGGTGGACTCTGCCATCTTGTTGGCCATGGCCTTCGACCGCTATGTGGCCATCTGCCGCCCACTGCACTACGCAACCATCCTCAGCAACACGGCAGTTGCCAAGATGGGATTGGCAGCTGCTGCCCGAGGGGTGATATTGGTCATCCCCTGCCCTGTACTTCTCAAGAGGTTGCCCTATTGCTTCCACAAGGTCATCCCACATGCCTACTGTGAACACATGGCCGTGATCAAGCTGTTCACATGTGCCAATACATTTATCAACCGGACCTACGGCATTTCTGTGGCACTCTTGGTGGTGGGGATGGACCTGGGGCTCATTGCCACATCCTACGCTATGATCCTGCAGGCCGTCTTCCAGCTGTCATCACGAGAGGCCCGGGCCAAAGCCCTGGGCACCTGTGCTGCTCACACCTGCATCATCTTGGCATTTTATGTGCCTGGCCTCTTCACCTTCCTCACCCACCGGATTGGCAAACACATCCCTGCTTGCCTCCACATCATCCTGGCCATCCTGTACATCCTGCTGCCCCCCATGCTGAACCCGCTGGTGTACGGGATGAAGACTCAGCAGATCCGCCAGCGGGTATTCAGCCTTTTCCACCAGGGAAGAAAGGCAAATTTGTAGCCTGGGAAACGAGAAGGAGGACCTGGTGGGTCATCCCCAGAGCTGTAGGCCCCGTAGCAGCTCCTCATCAGATCCAGTGGGTTATCTTGACCGGTTTCAGTCTGGCTTTAGGCCAGGGGGCAGACAGCATTCACCACACTTGCTGATGACCTTTGGCAGAGCCAGGACTGGGCGATGCCCCATCCTTATGTTTATTTATTTATTTATTTATTTATTATTAAATTTATATCCCACCCTTCTCCCCGAAGGGACTCAGGGCGGTGAACAGCCGAGAATTAAATACCATACAATATAAAAGTTAAAATAATTAAAAATAAATTAAATTAAACGGCCGCCCCAATTTAAAACCCCTAGCAATACAATTAAAAACTAACCCATAAAACCTATTCAGGCCAGGCCAGCTTGCTGAAATAAAAACGTCTTCAGGGCCTTACAGGAAGTGCGGAGATCCGGAATCAGCCGTATTCCGGGAGGTAGCTCGTTCCAGAGGGCGGGTGCTCCCACAGAGAAGGCTCTCCCCCTGGGGGCCGCCAGCCGACATCGCTTGACCGACGGCACCCTGAGGAGTCCCTCTCTGTGAGGGCGTATTGGCCGGTGGGTGGTTATCGGTAGCAGAAGGCGGTCTCGTAAATACCCTGGCCCTAAGCCATGGAGCACTTTAAAGGTGAGAACCAACACCTTGAAGTGCACCCGGAAGACCACCGGGAGCCAGTGCAGCTCGCACAGGAGAGGTGTTATATGGGAGTGCCATGTCGCTCCCGTAATCACCCGTGCGGCCGCATTCTGGACCAGTTGGAGCCTCCGGATGCTCCTCAAGGGGAGCCCCATGTAGAGAGCGTTAGCGTAGTCCAGGCGAGAAGTGACGAGAGTACTTCTCGCCTGGATCATGTTCCTTGATCTTTCAGCGGCTTTCAATACATCAGCCACAATGTCCTTCTGGACTGGCTGATGGTGTTTAGGACTGGGAGCCCCATTGGTTCACCTCCTTCCTCAGCAGTCAGCTCCAGTCAGTGTTGATGGGAAGGAGAGGCACTCTACACCCCCAGTCCCTCACGTGTAGGGTGCCTAAGGACTCTCTGCTTAGGTAAAGAACAGTGATCCAATGGGTCAATGGTTGTCCAGTTACCTTACGTAGCCCTTTGTGGCATAGTGGGGTTTGGAGGAGGAAGAGGAGGAGGGTGGGTGGAGGAGGAGGAAAAGGACTGTGGGTCCCTTAGTACTCTCTGAGCTTGGTTGTTTTCTTGCAGATGTTTCATGACCCAACTTGGTAACATCATCAGTGCTAGAATGGAGTGGGCTTTGCACAATCCTCGCTCCCTTCTAGCACTGATGCTGTTCCCTCGTTGGGTCATGAAATGTCCACAAGGAAACCACCTAGCTCAGAGAGCACCAAGGACCGCCTATTTCAACCCTGAGTTACAGATATTCTCTCCTACTGGCAGATGGAAGACACCTGTCATGCTGCTCGGGGGAAGACCACCTTAGGACCCTACCAGGGCAGCCTTCTGGTCAGCCACAGGAAGCAGAATTAGGGAAGTTTGTGTTTGCTTAGATAGGGTTGAGCAGCATCACAGGCACTGCAGAGCAACCTGGTAGGGCCTGCGCATAGCACAGTAGAGATAAGAAAATGCTTGGTGCATGTTTATCTAAAATGGCATTTGCCTGCTTATCTTCATGCTTGACACCTGCCTTGTAAGCCGTGGCCTGCTGGTAATCTGCACCTCTCTTCCTGTGGAGTAGATAGAGCCTGTCTCTTGCAATGGGAGGGGTCTTTCATTGTGAACAGGTCCTCCAGGCTCCTCTGACCTCACTAGGAGACCAACTAGAGGCTGAATGTTGGGCTCCTGGCCATGACTGAGTCGATGAATGGACCATGATCAATTCCATTCCAAAGCCAGTTGAGAGGGGCTGGGGGTCTGTTATCTCCAGCTTTTCCTGCTTCTTCTCCCATAGAGAGCCTAAGCTGGGAGGGAGAGAAAGGCTCCCTCGAGCACAAACTCAGCATGCTGGCTGGGGAATTCTGGGAGTTGAAGTTCAGATGTCAGGCACAAGGAAGCAGGATAGAATTCAAAAGCACCACAAGTTTATTCCATGCAACCTATACACAAGAATCTGATCTACTAACCGTCAAGGTACCAGATAAGACTCAACAGACTTCAAGAGGGGCTGGACTTGGGTCTCTTTTGTGGGTGTTGGGACTCCAGGCTGATAATGCATTTGACCTCATCCTCAGCCTGGTCATCTCCTACATCAGCATCTTAAAGGTGCTGAGAATGAGAAATGTCTATGGAGATGCTCTATCATCCAGGTCGTGATTGTGCCAAAGAGGCTTTTCCAAAAGGCAACTGGTTTTTTCTTTGAAAATGTTTTGCTCCTCACCCATGAAGCTTTTTCAGTTCTCAATTCGGTCCAGTTCTTCAGAACTGAAGAAGCTTCTTGGATGAGAAGTGAAATGTTTTCAAGGAAAAAAACCCCCAAGAAACTCCAGTTGCCTTTTGAAAAAGCCCCTTTGAGACAAAGATGAGAAAGAGGGCCCTGGAAGAAAGAGGGAGCTGGGACTGACTGGCCGAGAGGAGAACGCCGGAGAAGAGCTGTAAGGCAACAGGGGATCCCCACCCTGGCAGACACCGGGAGAACCTACCAGAAGCCAAGAAGAGATCTTTGAGGAAGAGAAGAGCCATCTTGAAGGAGATCAGGTGCATAAACTGATCTCCTGAGTCCTTTGGGAGAGGGGCGGCATATAAGTATAATAAAATAAATAAAAATAAATAAATAAGCAAGATCAGACCTGGAGGATCAGCCATTAGATGCCCCCGGCTGCTTCTCGTGATCCTCAGTGACTATGCCTGATTCAAAGGAGAAGCCGGTTGGATTTTATTTTGGCTTTTTTTTCTTTGCTTTTTTACTTTGCTTTTTGTCTTTCACTGTGAGTTGTATTGTGTTGGGGAGGGGGGGTTGCACGAAGGGAGGCTCAGCCAATCTCATCGTACACATGTTGTACTCTGACAATAAAGGTTTGAATTGAATTGAATTGAATTTTTGGCTACTCAGTCACTTACTGTTTTCCAACTAGAACTTCACTCCTCATTCCTGTCCTCTCTCTATGGCCAACCTCTTCAATGGACCCTTTAGCACTGATCAAACAAACCCCTTTGTCCTTCCCCACCCATCCATTCCCAATCTTCTCTCTTCTGGCTTTCTGGATCCGTCTTCAACCCTTGGGCAGTGCCAGCCCTCTCAGGAGACATCCCGGAAGTCCTCATCATTGAGAAAGGCTAAAATAACCAGACCTTAGAAAGCCTGGCCAGATTTCTCATCCGGTCCCTCATTTACTCGAAGCAGAGCATTCCTGGGCTTCTTCCTCAATCCCTCCGGTCATCTGAGCTCAGTGGATGGTTTTCTAATGGCTGCCACAAGTTTCCTTCCAGCTTCTCTCCATGTGTCTCCAGGGAACAGTGGTGGGAAGACTGAACCACAACATAGGGACTCTTCCTAGGATCCGGAGCCCAAAAGGCCTTCATAGGAGTGCAGCTCCCTTCACAAAGCCTTCATAAGGCCACACTTAGAATACTGCATGCCATATGATAAAAAAGATGTGGAGACTCTAGAAAGAGTGCAGAGAAGAGGCACAAAGATGATTAGGGGACTGGAGGATGAAACATACGATGAACAGTTGCAGGAATTGGGTTTACGCAGTTTAGTGAAAAGGACGACCAAGGGTGGCGTGATAGCTGTCTTCCAATATTTGAGGGGCTGCCACAAAGAAGAGGGAGTCAACCTATTCTCCCAAACTCTGTTATTCTATCATTCTGTTGAGCGATGGTCACAAAGGGGGCTGTGTAGGGGTATTTGAGCGGGGGTGTCTTCTTCAGCCTCATCAGCCTCATTGGGGGAGGGATTTCTAATGGGGTTCCTTCACACATTTACAACACAAGGGTTCAGGACCCCTGTAGTAAGGACATTTTCAAGGAAATACACAGCACAAAGAGACTCTATGATCATCTAGAAAGCTTTATTAATTACAACAGTTGAAGCATTTCCCTCTCTCTTGTGCTCATACTCACTATAAGGATGGCCAGGTAGGTGCACAGGTTGTGGACAACACCACCCCTGGGCGTCAGGACTGATAGGTCTGGCTCACCCTGAGCGGCTGTCCCCAACTCATAGTCTGCCCGTGGAAGGGAGAGCTGCAGCCATTCTTCCCCTTGCATCGGTTTGTGCCTTTCTCCAGGGAGAAAGGGAGGGGAGGTGGGCTATGTATTACATGGACCCCTGGGCTTCAGGACCAACAGGCACCTTCATCTAGAGATGGGTTGCAAGGGAAGAGTTCTCTGTAAGAGATGTTGGCTTTGGATTCAGTTCTGACTCAGGGAAGACCATCCAGAGGGGACATTTCTTCACCCAGGTCCTTGGTGTTGAAAAAAAGGAGAGGGCTTTTTATGGAAGCTACCTGATCTGTTACTGCTTAAAGTGCTTATTCATTGTGGCCTCACTGGTTAGTTAGGATCTTGGAGGACTTCAAGATGACAACCTTCAAAACTGCTGGGTCATAGATCTTCTCTGAGAAGTGATACCTTTAGCTCATCACTACAACAGTGCTTGGGAAAGTCATGAGACATCATGAAGAAAAGAGTCCCAACACCCTGTCCCGGATCTTCTTGGTCCGTAGGCCATAGATGATGGGGTTCAGCGCAGGTGGAACTACGAGGTAGACATTGGCAATGAGGATGTGGACAGAATGGGGGACATTGTGGCCAAAGCGGAGGGTGAGGAAGGAGAAGACAGCTGTTGTGTAGAAGATGAGTATGACGCAGATGTGGGAGCTGCAGGTGCCCAGGGCCTTGAAACCGGCTTCTTTGGAGGGCAAGTGGCAGACTGTGTGCAGAATCAGACCATAGGAGAGGCTGATGAAGCAGACATCGAAGCCCCCGATCAGGAAAGCCAAGGTGAGGCTGTAGCCCCCACTGGCCGCTGTATCTGCACAAGCCAGCTTCAGCAGAGCCATGAACTCGCAGTAGCTGTGGACAATGACCCTGGACTTGCAGAAGGGCAGCCGCCCCACCAAGAATGGGTGTGGGAGGAACAGCACCAGCCCCCTAACCACCACGGCCAGCCCCACCTTGGCCAGGAGGGCGTTGGTGAGGACAGCCGTGTGGTGCAGGGGGTTACAAATGGCCATGTAGCGGTCATAGGCCATGGCTAGGAAGAAGCCAGACTCCATGGAAGTGAAGGAGTGGATGAAGAACATCTGGGCCAGACAGGCGTGGAAGCTGATGTCCTTCTTGCCAAACCAGAGAATGGCGAGCAGCTTGGGCAGGGTGGAGGAGGAGAGCACCAGGTCAGTGAGGGAGAGCATGCCCAGGAAGAGGTACATGGGCTCGTGTAGGCTGGGCTCCATCTTGATCACCAGCAGGAGGCCAATGTTGCCCAGCAGAGCCACCAGGTACATGGAGCAGAAAGGGATGGAAAGCCAGCTGTGCAGGGACTCCAGCCCTGGGATGCCCAGGAGGGTGAAAACATCATGAAGCGTGATCGTGGCATTCACAGGGGCACCAGAAATGATGTGCTGCATGGTGCACCTTCATCTGCAGAGCCTCGTCAGTCAAAGTGACCCTTGGGCAGAAGGAAAGAAGATTACAATGGGGGAGGGGAACATAGGGGATAGCCATGACTGCAGACATAGCAACCTCTCTGTGACTTTGTAACCAATCTGTGGGATTAAAAATAGGTTAGAGATGGAGATGGAAATATGAAGATGGAGAGATGGAGACAGAGATGGACATGAAGATGAACATGAAGAGATGGAGATGGTGTTGGAGAGATGGAGATGGAGATGATGGAGAGACAGAGAAAAAGACAAACTATGATAGAAAGTGAGAGAGATAATTGAAAATAGAGTCATCCTATCTCCCAAGATCTGAGCCATTCAGCCCAGAGACTGACCTGGGTGTCCACCAGACACGCTGCTCGCTGGTGCTTTTCCTGCAAGGAGAGTGCAGGAGTCAACAGCCAGGCAGGTTATGGCCGGTCCTTCCCCACCACTTCAGTGGCCTTGGGGGAGTTTCTGTCCCTCCTGCCGATCCCCGGACCCTTTGCACAAGCAGCCCCAGAGAGCCAAAGGGATTGCCTTCCCCCTCCCCTGCCTCCCTCTGAACCCAGGTACCAAGCCAATTCAGGTGCTCTGGGTATTTCTGGCTGGTGGGACCTTTTGCTCTACCCCACAGGTGCCTGGGCTTTTATTCCCTGGTTTTCTCTTCTCATGAGTGCTCATTAAGAGAAAGACTACGGGATAATCCTTGATCATCTTGCTGAACATTGTCTTGATGCCCCTACATCATTCATCTGAGTCAGGGGTCTCCAAACATGGCAATTTTAAGACTTGTGGACTTCAACTTCCAGAAGCTGAGGAATTTTGGGAGTTGGTCCACAAGTCTTAAAGTTGCCAAGTTTGACACGCCTGATCCAGATGAATGTTCCCAGAAAGTCCGATGATTCCACTTCATAATTCTCTCTAGTATGATATGCCTAAGCAGAAGAGGAGCCTGCTTCATGGACAAATTCATGACAGATGCTTCCAAAACGAGGGGCAATACTTTCAGTTCCTGCAGGCACCAATGTAGTGATCACCAATGGTTGTCAGAACATCCTCAATGGTTGAACAGGGAAGCTAAAGAGGCCTACCTCTGGGGCCTCCTATACTGACATCATCGGGTTCATTGCCTGCATCTCACCAGGGTTAAAGGGATGGGGAAACACACCCAGGCCAAGCCCCCTTTGGGTCAGAAGCTAGAACAAGGTTCAAAGTGAGATCATCCGTGGTTTTGGGGTGGATTTCCATCAGTACGCTGATGATACTCAGCTGTATATTTCCACCCCGGGCCACCCCAATGATGCCCTTGATGTGATGACCCGGTGCCTGGAGGCCATACGGATCTGGATGGGGAGAAACAAGCTCAGACTCAACCCCTCCAAGACCGAGTGGCTGTGGTTTCTGGCGTCCCGTCATAGTCAGTTGGTTCCATCACTGACTTTAGGGGGTGAGATCTTGGCCCCCTCAGAGAGGGTTCGCAACTTGGGTGTCCTCCTGGACCCAGCTGTCTTTAGAAGACCATCTGACGGCTGTGGCCATGGGGGCTTTTTATCACGTTCGCCTGATCCACCAGTTGCGTCCCTTTCTGGACTGGGACGCCTTGCGCACAGTCACTCACGCCCTCATCACTTCCCGTCTGGACTACTGTAATGCTCTCTACATGGGGCTCCCCTTGAAGAGCACCCGGAGGCTCCAGTTGGTCCAGAATGCGGCCGCGCGGGTGATTATGGGGGTGACTCGATGCTCCCATGTAACACTGTTCCTGCGCGAGCTGCACTGGCTCCCGGTGGTCTTCCGGGTGCGATTCAAGGTGTTGGTCGCCACCTTTAAAGCGCTCCATGGCATAGGACCTGGGTACTTACGAGACCACCTTCTGCCTCCAATAGCCTCCCATCGACCAGTACGCTCCCACAGAGAGGGTCTCCTCAGGGTGCCGTCAGTTAGACAGTGTTGACTGGTGACCCCCAGGGGGAGAGCCTTCTCTGTGGGGGCACCTGCCCTCTGGAACGAGCTGCCCCCAGAGATTCATTGGATTCCCGACCTTCGTACCTTTCGCTGCACCCTTAAAACATTATTATTCCATCAAGCAGGGCTGGCCTAAAATATTATTTTAATGGGTTATTTTATTTTAGATTATTGGCCAAACTATTTAATAATTTTAAATTGTTTTTAACTTTTATATTGTTGGTTTTTTATCTTGGCTGTACACCACCCTGAGTCCTTCAGGAGAAGGGCAGTATAAACATTCAATAATAAATGAATGAATGAATGAATGAATGAATGACCCCCGTACTTGGTCTGAGGGAAAAGCAGCTTCCTGAATTCCCCTCTTCAGGATGATGGGAGAGAGAAAATGTAAAGGTGTTTTTTTAAGAATATAACCTGGACTGCTTTGCAGATTAGTTGATACTGGAGGAGAAGGCAGCCTCTCGAATGGA